TATCCCGGTGTATCCCGGTTTATCCCGGTTTATCCCGGTGATCCCGGCCCGGCGCGTCCGGCGCTGTCCGTGGTGCTGAGACCGGCCGGGGCGGGGTCGGGCCGGGGCCGGTAACGGGCTGCGGGTCCGTGTCTGTCCGTGTGTCCGTGTGTCTGTGTGTTTGTCCGTGTGTCCGTCCATGTGTCCGTGTGTCTGTGTGTTTGTCCGTGTGTCCGTGTGTCTGTGTGTTTGTCCGTGTGTCTGTCCGTGTGTCCGTGTGTCTGTCGGTGTGTTTGTCCGTGTGTCTGTCCGTGTGTCCGTGTGTCTGTCGGTGTATCTGTCCGTGTGTCTGTCTGTCCGTGGGTCCGTGCGCTCCTTTGCAGGTCCCAGTTTGCGCTGAAGTTCCTGGACCCCTCATTCGTGCCCATGACGAACTCCCTGAGCCAGGAGCTGCAGGAGAAGCCGTCCAAGTGGGCCTTCAACCGCACGGCCTTCGCCCACCAGCGGTGAGCACGCGCCCGCGGACCCTCCGCACCCCCGGCCTCGTCCCCTTCCCCCCTCCCCAACTGCAGAAAATACAGTCGGGGACTGCTAAATACTTTTAATTCGCCAGCGGCGAGAGACAAAGGCTGATCCGGAGTGTTTCCCCAGATGGTTACAGCTATCTAGGGAGAAATTTCAGAGCAGGGCATTTTACCAAACGGGGCGCGACCCGCCGTCCCGGTGCGCGAGTGAAATTGTCGTCACTTCAATACAAACGACTGGGGTTTATCAAACTTGAAAGAAGCGGGCAGGTAACGGCCATGAAACACGGCGTTCGTGGAGGCCGACATGCGCCCAGATAAACTTCCCAGCTGACGGCAGCTCTGAGCAAGCACAGCCCTGTGCTGCCTCCCGGCCGAGGGGGTGGGCAGGGCTCGGGGCTTGGATGGGGGCCCTCGAGCCCGGATCACCCCAAAACACCCTCCTTGGGCACCGCCGGCTGCCTCCTGCCCGCAGGTTGCACTGACGTCCCTGCAGTGTGGCAAGGGAAAGGGTTTCTCGGTCCCTTCAGCTTCCTCAGAGCTGCTCTGTGCTTGGTGGCAGTCAGATGTGCTCTCGGTGTGATGAGAACGTGGCGCTGCCTGGCCAGCCTCTTTTATTTATTGGCTTTACTGAGATATATATAGAGAGAGAGATCAGTAAATATATACTTTAGACATTTAAAAAAATATAGATATATTTACTGATGTATTTTTAAAAAGAAAATAAAACCCTTTAGCCATTTAAGACAGCGACTCCCATCCTGGACTGTGGCTTTGTCCTGACAAAAGCCTGATCTTTCAGAGACCCCCTTGTGACCCAGATCCCATCTCCCACCCAAGAATCAGGAACCCCGTCCCCTCGGCTTGGCGGCCCAGTCGGTGTGGGGTGCTGCCCCCCTCAGTGCTCCCCTCCTCCCCTGGGCCCTCTCCGGCACAGCGGGGCCAGCGATGCCCTTCCAGTGCCGACAAGCTGCCCCCGGGGCGCCGTGGGGCACGGCGAGGAGGGGGCTCTTTGCCTGCCCCATCCTGTCCCAGGAGCCGCCGGGCTGGCGGACAGTGGCTGCCCTCAGTACTGCTTCATTCCTGGCACCACCAGCTCATCCATCGTGAGCTTTAATTGTTGGACTAGATGATCTTCAAGGCCTTTTCCAACCTCGATGATTCTGTGATTCTGTGAGTCTGTCTCCGTGCCACCCCGCTGAAGGTTTTAGCTGATGCCTCAGGATCTGCACTTGTCCGTTAGCCATAACCCATAATTAGGGCACCCAGTGGGACTCCATTAATGCTGAGACATTGGAGGTTGCAAGCTGGAAAAAAGTTGTTTGTTTTCCATAAACATGAGCAAATAAAGTGGTATTGGTTTTCTATTTTTATGCCCTGCTAGGGAAATTCCTGAGCAGGCTTGGTTTTGTTTGGCTTTTAAGTATCCCTAATAACCCTTGTAAAAACGCCGGTGTGCTTGCCCAAGGAAGACATTAAGGAATTATCTTTACATAAATGGAGGCAGCAACTGTCGCTTGGGTTTGTGCTTCTTAACAAGATCATGAAGAATTACATGTATTTAAAAATCAGCTCCTGTTAATTCAACCCAATATCTTGGACAGCTTGGGTTTGCTTCCCATCCCGGCACCCATCGTCCCCAGATCCACGGCCCAGTTCCAAGAGCGGGGTGTGTGTGGAGAGCCCCAGCAGGGCGCCAGCACCCCTCAGCCAGGCGCCCGGGGAAGGGCCGAGCTGTTGGCTGCACCCCTGGGGTTTACACAGGGAACCCAGCGTTTCAATCCGGACACTGCTCCCAGGGGCACGGCCGCACCCTCAGCTGGCATCACCCAGGACGGCCCGGTAAAGCCCAGCTCCAGGTTCCTCTCTCTTTATGGTAATTTAAAAGCCATTGCACCACGCTGCTCAGGAAAATACTAATTAAGGAAGAAGAGAAATGTAAATCTAGACAGAAAGAAAATCTCTCCACCGCAGAAAGAGGGGAAATACAACTCCGTGTTTTCTTCTCTTTTTCTGTTTTATTTTAGGCAAGAAATCCTTCAGCACGTTGATGTAATAAAAAATTTTTCTTTGACCAAGAATAGCGTTCGGATCGGGCAGCTGATGCATTACGATTATTCCAGCCACAAGTACGTTTTCTCTATCAGCAATAACTTCCGATCGCTGCTTCCCGACGTGTCGCCCATCCTGAACAAGCATTACAACATCTGCGCCGTGGTTGGAAACAGCGGGATCCTGACCGGGAGTCAGTGCGGGCAAGAAATAGATAAATCTGATTTTGTTTTTCGTTGCAATTTTGCTCCAACCGAGGCTTTCCAAAAAGATGTTGGAAGGAAAACCAATCTTACGACCTTCAACCCCAGCATCCTGGAAAAGTATTACAACAACCTTCTGACCATTCAGGATCGCAACAACTTCTTCTTAAGCCTGAAAAAGCTCGACGGGGCCATCCTTTGGATCCCCGCTTTTTTCTTCCACACGTCAGCGACGGTCACGAGAACGCTGGTTGACTTCTTTGTTGAGCACAGAGGGCAACTGAAGGTCCAGCTGGCTTGGCCAGGAAACATCATGCAGCATGTTAACAGGTGTGTGTCTCTGCCTGGCGTTTAGCTTGCCCAAACACGTCTCTGTACAAACACAACTGGTTTTCCTGTTTGTGCCTGACCTGGTAGGCACCGTCTAGTGAGTCAGGACCCGAGCCTGCTCGGCCTTAGAGCAAACGCAGCTTTGGTACGGCCTCAGCGAGTCCTTCGGGTGGTTCCTCACAGGTGTGGGCCCGGCGCGGAGGAGCAGGGGGTTGTTTGCCCGGGGGCCCGTCCTGGGCCAGGGATCTGCCTCTGCTGCGGAGCCCGGAGGAGCGCGGGGCAGCCGAGGGAGGCACGGCGGGAGCAGAGCACCGTGTCTGGAGCGCGTGCTCTTCCCAGCCCGCTCACGGGAGCTGCCGCCTGCTCCGAGGAAAACTGCAGCACCGCAAAGCAGGATGAGGCTGCCTCTCTTTAGCGAGTGCGAGCGGAGCCAGGGGATCGTACCTGGCTGGGTAAGGCACTACGTCTCCTGGCCAAAACCCAGAGCCGTTCAGAGGGGGACACAAGAGACTGGGGGTCAGGGTGCTGCCAGGGGCGTTCTGCGCTCCCGCTCCTCACAGACCAGCCCGAGGAGAAGCCTTTGCCTCACCCAGGCTCTCAGCACCATCTCTGAGCAGTAACATTATTTTTTCCTTACAGCAAACCTGTGGCATTCCTCTCCCCCGCTCCAGACTAACAAGTCTCTATGTTTTTTCGCAGGTACTGGAAGAACAAACACTTGTCACCCAAGCGGCTGAGCACAGGTATTCTCATGTACACCCTTGCTTCTGCCATATGTGAAGAGATCCACTTGTACGGATTCTGGCCCTTCGGGTTCGACCCCAACACGAGGGAGGACCTCCCGTACCACTACTATGATAAGAAGGGAACCAAGTTCACGACCAAGTGGCAGGAGTCCCACCAGCTGCCTGCAGAGTTCCAGCTGCTCTACAGGATGCACGGTGAAGGACTGGCCAAACTCACCTTGTCGCATTGTGCCTAAGAACCTAAATCTTGAAGTGCCAAATGATTGTCTAAAAAAGTGCCCAAACCCCAATTAAACGTTCTTCAGATAGAATTCTCAAAAAAAAAAAAAAAAAAAAAAAAAAAAAAAAAAAAAAAAAAAAAAAAAAAAAGACCCAAACACCCCAGCCTAAAAACATATTTTCCATAATATAAAGATGCTTTTTAGTCACCCCTGTCACTGCTCACCAGAGGGTTTAAGCCCGTTTAGCAGTGCAGAAACATTTATCAAATTCTGTGGATGCTATTCATGCAGCAGCAAAGTCGAAATATTTTGCATTTATAGATAAGCCACTAAGTATGTTTTAAGATACTTTCGTATTTTAGCATCCCACTAAATGCCCTGAAACTCTTCATTTTACTGTTCCTTCCTGACTAGAACTAGAAATGCCAATTTTAAAAGGTTTTGCTGCTTTTGTGTATGTTGCTATCAATTGCTTGGCATAATAGATCGCTGTGGCCGATCGAGGAGGCCACTCAGAATTCCAGTTCTTCGCCACTTGCAAGTTCTTCAGTGTGGATCCTGGTTTCCACCGCTTGCATATTTTCATATTTACTGAATTTGACATTTTTCAAAGCTGTAAGGTGAAGGAGGAGGTCGCAATCCGGCTTGTACCTTAGCTAGGTGTTTATATCGCTCTCAGAACACTTCAGTGTTTTAATTCAACTTGGGCCAAACCCTACTCCTAATTAGGCTGAGCCGTGGTCGTTCCCATCCGTGTGATCATATCTGGTCTTTTGATTTCAAAGTTAAACCGCCGCCATAACAATTAGGTTTCTCTGGAGATGCGTTGGGTGAGACCAGCCCCAGACCCCGGCGCGGGCACGCCTCCCTCTGCACCGGCTCCCCGCACCCTCCAACGCCGGGGGGTGCTCTGGGGGGACGATACCCCTGAGCATGGGGACCACGGGGGGGTCCCACCCCATCCCTTTGCCCCCAGATTGGCGGCCGGGCGCCGCACCCATCCTGGTGAGCTCTGCTGGGTGGGACCCGCCGCGGCCGTACCCAACGTTCTGCTGCAGGAGTGTTTTGGTAGGTGCCACCCAAACCGTGGCCATGGGGTTCGTTGCTCGGCGGTGTCTGTAGAGAGTGGTCGTAGCCTTCGTTAGTCCAATTAACAGCGATGGGGCAGGCGGGCCGGGCAGCAGCAGGAGCCAGGCACCGGGGTTGTTAAAAATGCTTTTTAAAGGGAAGTGAGTGCAGCAGGAGTCCAGGGAAGAGGAAATACAGTTACCGGGTCTCCCCATTCACATCTCCAACTCCACGGTCAGACCACTAAACGAGCGGCCCCGTTTTCCGATCACCAACAGCCACCCGAGGCAGGCAAAGCAAGGCACGGCTTCCTCGGCACCGCTGACATCTGGCTGTTTGTAGAGAGGACAAACCTCACTTAGGGTTTGAAAGTGTTGGCCATTATGTCTCAGGATAAAGGAGCGTGTAAAATAACTGGGTTTCTTATTACCACAAGTATTGCTTACAAGTATTTTAATGTTTTTCTACTATTCTCTCTGACGCTGAGAACTGACTGCACACTGAAAGAAGATGCAAAATCCAATTTAAAATCATAGTTTAAAATGGCACCATTTAATTTTTCTCGGCCTCTTTACCTACAAGCAGATGTAGGAGGTGAGGAAGATCTCGAGTACAACACCAAACCGCAGCTCCACCGGCCCCCGAAGCTGGGACCCCGCTCTCCCCCACGCCCCGGGGCGGAGAAGGAGCTGGCAACTTTCTTCCCCATTTTAACGACCCCACATTTTCTGGCTTTTGTTTTTTCCAAGGCTGTTCAGGGCTGGGGCGCACTGCGGAGGGGCTGGGGTCTCGCCATGCCGCGGCGTTCCCGCCCGCCCTGCCAAGCCTGGCTCAGCGTTGCCGGGGGCTCCGGCTCTCCGTGCTGTCTGTCGGCCCCGTGCTCGTCGCCATCCCTGCAGCAGAGTCCAACTTCCCGCAGCTGTTACGAAGACATAGTTGTGCAGTGACGGTGGTGTCTTACGCCGTGTGGTGCCATAAGAGTTGTCCTTGATATTATCACCTATTATTTGTGCCATAGTCGCGCGCGAGGGCCCGGGAGCGGAGTTTGGCCGTGCTGGGCGCAGGCTGTGGCAGAGCATGAGGACAGGTCGTCTCCATCACTCGCACCTGCCCGCGGGAGGGACAGGGATCCCCCGACCCCGCCAGGCCTGTCACCGAGGGGTGCAGGATTGCACCCCCTGGACGCCAGGACTGTGAGCAACCGGGCAGCACCAGCCCCGACCTGCGGGAACCCTCGTCCGAGTGCCGGAGCACACGGATTTTTTGTGCCCAAGAAACAGAAAGATGAGAAATTGCAGGGAGATCTGCGCTAGTTGTTATGACATGCAGTAATTAATCATTTCTGATGGTGTTTCGAGCTGTACGTACCCAGGAAGGCAGGCGGGCGGCTCGGCCGGTCACCGAGGGGCATGTTGAAGGTGTGTCCCGTGGCCAAGAGCCCAGCAGGGGCCAGGGGTGACCCCCAACCCTGGCTGATGCCTCTTGGCTTGTGGTTAACGCCAGATTATTTTCTTTAAGAGGCATTTTATCAATTTCATGTAGGGAGCGATCATTTTTAATCAGCGCATTAAAGAAATGTGAATTATTATATTGGTGTGAAAGGGGGGCCTGGTGTGCTCTATACAACTTTTGGCTGCTGGATCCAAGGGGGAATGGCACTGGCAGACCCTGCTCGGCTGCTGCACGGCGTTTACGTGGCGTAACCAGTAGTCACCAGGAAACATTCGTTAGCCCAGACAGACATATTTCCACCCGTGTGTCTCCAGGAGCCCTTTTCGCAGTGGGGGTGCTCAGCCTGGGGCCAGGCTCCGGGGTGTTGGCCCCGGCCGTGTCGCTGGGCGGTGGGACACGCTCAGAGCCGCAGCGTCCAGCCTCTCCCCGAGGGGAGGGCGGCACTTCTGATGTGTCCGGGGGCCTCGGCCGGTTGTTCCTGAGCGCGGCACATCTTCGCTCAAACCGCTGCTGTAGAGCACCCAGGAGAGCAGATGAACGGCAAAAATTAGAGGTTGAAACCAAAAGCCAAAATTGTTCTGGGGTCGTTTTTTAATTTTTCTTTTTTTTTTTGTTTTTAATTAAATTTCCCATCCTAATCACACTAAACTCGGGGAAGTTGCCTATGGCTGTAATTTCTGTTCTGCCCCCAGCTCGCCCCCCAGGCTGTTTCTGTGCTCGGGAGCCCTGCGAGGCCCCACGCACCCCGCAGAGCGCCGGGGACGCTGGTCGCGGGGAGGATGGCGTCGGGGAGGTGTCTCCATGTGCGGTACCTTCGTTTGACCTTGCTTAACTTCAGCAAATGGAGCGTCTCTCAGGTTCATCCCGCTCATGGCCAGGTCCCGTTACGGCTGAAGGCAGCAGACCCCGCCAGGGGGTCTCGGGGGGAGCCCCGGTGCTCTGCAGCCCCCTCCCATCCCCAGAGAGGGCCGGGACCCCCCATCGGTGCCGGGGGATGGCTCTGGCAGCACAGCTGGAACTTTCCAGAGGCACAGAGAGGCACCGAGAGCGGAGAAGGAAGCACGAAAACAGCTGCAAATATTCGGAAATGGGAATACAGAAAAATTATTGACAGAGCGCCATATTATATCATTGATTTTTAAGCAAAACTCCCTATCGATTTTTCAGAACCGCATTGAACATTTCAGAATCATTGATTTTAATGGGGAGTTCTTCCCCAAAATCAATGGCGCAATACAGCCCAAAGTAAATTGCTTCTTAGTATCAATATTTTTTTGTCCAAGCTCTTGCAGTGTGGAAAGCTGTCTTAAAATGTGCATCTTTTGTTTTTTGCCTGTTTCCTGCTCTTTGAATTCTGCTTTTGTAGAGCGACTGGCAGGGAAGGGCGGCTTGTGCCGACTGGTGGGACCAGCAGTGGCCCAGGGTGGGCTCTGCTCCCCCAGGCAGGGAGAGCCCCCGCTGCTGCCTCGCGGTCAGGCTGGGCTCTCTCCCAAAACCCCTTTTTTGGGCTGATTTTCTTGTGGGGCCTCGCATTAGGGGCACTGCGCGTCCCTGAGCAGCAAAGGGGGGTGACCCCCCCCGAATTGGCAGTAAGGTCAGGGCTCGGCGTCCTTTTCTCACTGCACGGGGCTTTCAGCATGTGTAATTCTGGTTTTGTAGAAAATAATCAGAAAATCCCTCTGAGCTGGAGGAAGTCAGTGGTGGGCGGCAGGAGGAGCCCTGGCGTTGCCTGGAGAAGGTCCGGGCTGGGCGGCTCACGGCGGGTTCCTGAGCTCTGGGATGAAGGGGATGGAGGTGGTGGGCGAGGTGAGGGCCGGAGGGTGCGGAGGAGACGGTGGCTGAGGGGGAGAGGCAGAAAATGCCTTTTTAAATAAGCTGCTCCCCGCCAGCCCCCACGGCTCCCCGGGGCGGTGCGGTGCCGGCTGCCGCCCGCCCGGCTCAGGACTGCAAACGGCCCTTGCGTTGGGTCTCACCTTGGCCAGACTCTTCCTGCCAAAGCCTTCCAGCCTCCTGTCTACCTAAACCAACTCCTGATGGTTCAAGGAGATACTCGCTGCCGTTCCTGAACGTCTAGGCCAGCAGATACGGCTAAATGAACGTACGTGTCACGCAGCGTGATCAGTACTCGTAAGTACGGAAGGTTTGAGTTTACAAAAGCAGGCGAGGTCCTGACTAGCTCCGAGGGAAGGGTCTGGCGGGATGCAGACCCCGCTGGGCTCCCAGGACGTGTCCCAGGCGCTGCCGGAGGCGAGCGGGGCCGCATCCTGCTCCAGCCCTGTGCCGACGGGCGCCGAGGACCCCGCAGCGAGGACTGGGGATGTGGAGAGGGGGTGTACATAGGAGTGGAAATACGTGTGTTACCTTCTCTTCTTTTATACATCTGGGGTTTGTATTTTCGTTGCTTGCATCTTTTCAGTGAATGGTAGCAAGATACATTCAGACAAAGTCATTTTTGGCTACTGGTTTTAATTGTGGAGTATACCAAAAAGCAAGCGTTTGTGGACTATAACTAACTGTGAATGGAGGCTGCAAAAACGGATCGTTTAGAAAAAAACAGGTTTTCTGTAAATGAATGTGTCTTTATTCCAATGGCTATACAGTTCAATGCCCGATGGAGTTGTTTTCAATAAAAGAAAAGATAAATATTTAAAAAAAAATGCCATAATTATAATAAAGGATTCATTATTTAACAGCCATACTAAAAGCATTTTTTATTTTTAAATGGCTGATGTTCACAGAGGGCCAGGGCAGAGCCTCAGGTGAGTGGCCGCGGTGGGGCCGTGGTGCTGGTGTCCAGCCTCGCTCCCCCGGGAGCCTCGGGGGAGTCGGCGGGGCCGAGAGCCCTGGGGGGCAGCGCCTGGCCCCTCCCGCGAGGGGCTACCGC